GTGATCTACACTTTCTAGACGGCAAAACAAAACTTTAAAAAACTATGTGGCAAGAGCCTCTCAATGAAGAGCTTTACTGAATTTACGGCTGTAAAAATGCAATTTATAAGGTCATTCCAAAACGATGGCAGTTGATTCTGGACATAAAGTGTTTAAGATGATAGGATCGTAGAAACATTCGCTTTGGGAAAGAGCTCTCTGAATTGAGCTCCCTTCTTACCAACGGAATACGAGGATTCAATATCTAGATCTATCTCTCTAGTCGGTATTATTGATCTGCAAAGCTAGCTAGTTGACCGTTGTTAATTAATAGCTTAGCAAACTATTATTTTTGAGGGAAGTGTATTTCGACACCGACTTCCGGAGGTTGACATTCAACGTCAGATGTGAGCTAAATAGGGAAGACGGTTTTGATTGGCTGAGCTAGCCTCGGAACGAGATAAGGGAAATATTTCAGCCAGTTGATTCTTACCCGTCAAGAGATGTAGGCGTCTTCTCTTTCGTGTCCGAAAAGGCTCCCCAGTTTGATGGGCGTCCCCCAAAGGATAGTTAGATAATGTCGAAATGATGAATGAAAATATTTAGGTTAACATCGTCTGTGTTGGAGTCTTTTTTTAATTGACGAATTGAAACAAATGGTGATCGCTGACCAAGAGAAAAAAAAACGAGCTGAGATCGTTCACTGCTGTCAACAAGCAACGCCATTAATCTGCGATTAATATTCCTGTATATATAATAACAATGAAGTAGTGTATTGACTTATTTATTAATAAAACCTACCTACCTACCTATACACACACACACACACACACACACACACACACACACACACATATATATATATATATATATATATATATATATATATACAGGGTGTCCATAAAGTTAGTATGCACTTTGAAAAATTATAACTTTATTTGTATTTGCGATAGAGATAATTTGTAAAAAGGATTAGAAAGATTTTATTTAAGTTTCCACATGTCCTCCATCATTAGCAATACAAAGGGTAATACGATTTTGCAGTTCATGGAAAACATTTGCCAACTGATTTACAGTAACGCCTGAAATCCAATTAGTTATTTTAGCTTTCAAATCTTCTAATGAACTAGGTTTGGTTGCATACACAATTGTTTTCACACGTCCCCACAATTGTTTTGTTTTTTTTTTTGTTTTTTTTTTTAAGCGTTTCACCCCAAGCAAGGCGGGAAGCCACTAGGACGCAAGGGGTTACAGAAAATTTGGAGCAAGATGAGATAGGAGTGATAGAAGAAAGGATGAAGAGAAGGGTAGTGGATAGATCAAGGCATCTGGGGATGTCGATTGACATTACATTTGAATAGCTGGAGATTATAGCTCTCAGGGAAACTGGAATAGGGAAGGAAGTTCCACAGGCGAGAGGTGCGAGACATGAAGCTATTGGAGTAGAAGAGACGGCTACATTTAGAAGTTTCGACAGTGAAAGGGTGAGAGCGGGATGCCAGCCTCGTAAGGCGCTTGAATTCATGAAGTCTGGGAACCAGCGAATGCAGCTCCTCGGAGCAATTGCCATGAAAGTATTTGTAAAACAGACAGAGAGAGGCGACGGCGCATCTGTGAGAAAGTGACTGTAGATGAGATGCCAGAGTAGGGCCAATTATATTGCATTTCCGCCTCTGAGCCTACATATATATATATATATATATATATATATATATATATATATATATATATATATATATATATATATATATATGTGTGTGTGTGTGTGTGTGTGTGTGTGTGTGTGTGTGTAATAGATTCTGAAACAGTAAAATATTTTCATAATTCTTGTTTTATTTAAATGATCGCGGATTTTTACGTGTTTTCATTCAGTCCATTTAACTCAGTAGGAAATTCTTTTTTTTGATCATTTGTTCGAGAAGACTACCTTTTCTTACCGTCCAGCAATTATCTTGGCTTCCTATGATCTACCTTGGAAGAAAATGGAATAAAAAATAACCTCTATCACTCTATGATTTCTATTACCGGTGATTTCGGAGGTTAGAACCAATTTTGTTACAGTCCCCGTTGCGGCTGCTTGGTCCCACGCTGTCCGCTGATACGGGCTGGAACAAATACATAGACTCAATAGCTTCATCTACCGTTGACAATCATTCTAGGAAAAGGAAAATTATTAATTAAAGCCAATAATCTTTGCGCCTGCTGTCCGCTGATATGAATTGGAACAAATACATAGACTCAATAGCTTCATCTACCGCAAGGAAAGTTGGTTCTCTGTGTCGTGCCAGAAAGTTTTTTTCTCGGTCGAGTCCATCCTTTAAATCTATAAATCAACCATTCGTCCTTGCATGGAATACTGCTACCATATATGGTCTGGTGCCTCCGCTATAAGTCTCGAGGTCTTCGAGAAAATCTAGAGACGAATACGCAATGTAATAGGCCCTAACCTGGCATCTAATCTACAGTCGCTTTCTCACAGACGAGCTGTGACTTCCTCTTGTCTCTTCTATAGTATTTTCACGGCAACTGTTCCATCGAGTTGCTTTCTCTGCATGAATTCAAGCTTATTCAAGGGTTAAAATTGTGATTTACTAGAGGCTTCTGAAAAATTCTCGATCCCACCAAGATGTCCTTTCAAGAGATTTTATTTATTAAAAAAACAATATGAAGAATCTACTCGAATAGTTTTTCCAAGCTTTTTCAGAATGTGAGTTGTCATAGCTCTGCACAACTTCTTCCCTTTGTTGTTCTAAGTAGCTTTTCACACTTTGCCACAAATAATTGTCCTTGTTCTGTCTTCTGTATAACTCTTATTTTTATACCCTCTCCATTCAGGATTAGAGAAATCATGACTCTCCACAAGTTCCATTCTTTTAGCACGATAAATAATTTATGTCTGTTTACCATTCCAGTTTGGAAATGTACTGTCATCCATTGTCTCAAACTCGTCTAGTAGTTTAGTCTGTGTTCCTATTTTTCGGTTTGACTTTAGTATCTTGTGAGTGTTATATTCTCCAGACCTTCTTTCTTTATTAAGATTATGTTGAGCAAATGAAAGTGCAATAATTATGCTTCCACAGGCTAGGAATCGACGCAGGATTTACCAGATTACTTTGGATTATTGTCTGTAATAGCACTAATGAAATTGAGTCATGCAGGTATCAATTTTTCTTCTTCACTCACTTGGAAAGGCATCTCCTTGCCACATCTATGGGTTAAATAGTAAGACATGTATATGGAAAACTGGTATTCTCAAAAATGTTAATGCAATATTTAATCGTAAAAAATAATTCCTAGAATCCTTCTTTCCCATTTATAAATCTACCGTGCATTGAACAATGCTGCCATATCTGGTCTGATGCTCCTGCTATATATTCTCAGTGTCTTGCTAAATTCCAAATAAGGATTTGTAATGTTATCGGTCCTAACCTGGCATCTCGACTTCAGTCAATTTTCTACTTGGCCTTCATCTGTCATTTCATCATAATTATTTTCATTGTTTTAATCAGCCTTCCTCTGGTACCTTGACTTAATGAATTTAAGGGTACTATTCGGCACGGTGAAGTAGTGGATAGCGTTCGGATTGAGGAATCGGAGGGCCGAGTTCGAATTCCAATCGAATTCATTACATTCACTTACGTGCTAAAAGCCATGGTAAAGGTATGTATCTTCTTTTTCTTCCCCCAGCTTTGCGTGAATATAGCCTTGGATGGCAACTGGTCTACAGCAGAAAGGAATGGCAGGAAAAAAATCTGCCTCGTCAGTCATGTATCGAAAGATACATGGTCGCCTGAGCGTGTATCACGCATGGCACATAACTGAATCGGAGAACCGAGTTCGAATTCCAGTCGAACCCATTACATTCACTTACGTGCTTTGGAAAGGTATGAATCCTCTTCTTCTCCCCACAACTATGGGCAAATAGCAGGAAAGACTGGGTTTTATAGCCTTGGATGGCAACTGGTCTACCGAAGAACGAAATGGCAACCTACTGCGGGAAATATCTGCCTCGTCAGTCATGTATCGAAAGATACATGATCGCCTAAGCGTGTATCTCGCATGGCACATAACTGACTAAATTGGCAACTAGGTCTCATCGTTTGGTCGTTGAAATAACAAGATGGAGCCGTAAATCCTATTCTGATAGTTATTTTTCTCGCACTTCTCGGCCGTGGAAATTATTTCCGATTTCTTTCCTCTCTGAAATATTTAAATGCAACATCTTTCTCTATCTTCTGTCTTCCTGGGCACCTGTCCTTATATTTTTTCCTCACTAAGGATTTAACTTTCCCTTTCATTCTTAGTAGATGTTGGCGTCTTAGTGGCTTTATCACCTTGTTGGGGCGAAATGATTAAGAAAATATTTCAGCATTAAATAACGCACGCCAGTTTAATAAACTGTAAAATATAAACCCAATCATTCAATCAGGCATGTGTTTAGCAGCTGGCTTGACAAAGATTTCTTGCTTTGGGTCGTAATCGGACTATAAGAAAGAATATGCCGAATTCAAAATTATTGAGAAAGCAACGGTAAAATCCACGTCCAATATTTTTTTAGGAAGCCGTAGTATTTCGCAGATAAAGAATTCATGGATAAATGTTTTCTTACATCCTGAAGGGAGATACCCACGAAAAAAAAAAAAAGTTTCGCAGAAACAGAGATGCCATCATTCAAGTTCTCAAGCTTTCCTTTTCTGCACAAGAAATTTGCCATTAGGTTAAGGTATTTCCGACTTTTAAAGTGGATTCAAGCGATTTTCAAAATCATAAGCAAATTTTAATGAAACTCTTCATCTGTGCGACGTGTCCCTTCGTACCGTGGGCGATCATGGGTCTTCATAATTTCCTATACTTTGTAATGAACTGCATACGTTTTGGAAATTCGGTTGACGTAAAATAAATTCCGCGGAGATTTATTACGGGGAAATTGAAAAAAAAAAGAAAACAAAAACGAATTGTATGAAGATGACTTCGCACATTTGATATATTCCGTCAATGACTGTGGTATAAGAATGAGAAGT